CTTTACCTCACCAAGCCAGAAATAATGCTGGTGAAGAGGAAAGGTTGGGCATGAGGCTAGCAACCTCATCCTGTAAGACAAACACTGCTACAAAAACTTCAAGTTACCAGCTTAAAGCCCTATGTTCCAATGGGGAACGTGAAGGAAAGAAAAAAAACCTCTTCTCCAACCTAATCCTATGTCAGCTGGCATTACTCATCAAGGAAGGCATTGATTGGCTCTGCATGCAAAACACATGATTCTGTCTGACTGTAGCTTGGAATTTTTCTATTTTTATGAAACATTATAAACTCATTTGGTGAATACTGTAATAACTGGAACATGAGAAGAATTTACAATCTACGCTTCACTTCACGATTAAAATACTTATCCTGAGAAGACAACTTCAGGAATAATGTATTCATGATTTCTAGTGAACTAAAAGTTTTAAAAATTTTTCTTATAACATACAAAACTTGATTGATTGATATAGAAATCGATTCAACACTACCCTTAATTTGCAGTCATCTGATAGGAGAACAATGCTAAGATAAGCAACAAGAACGATATAATCTTGAAGTTAAAATTAAATGAGTTGAATTCACCTCTTAGCTCATACCACAACAGAAAGTTGAATCATAACAACAATCACACGATCCTCATCCTTTGAGAAAAACTAGTTGAAGCAATCTGAAATGTTAAATATTACGGTGGATTTTCAATAAAAACAATGCTAATCTTTGATTGGACACTAGTAATTAGTGCGATGTGTCAAGTCCTTTCTTTCGTGCAGTCTGAATTCTATCAGTCAGGTTTGCAATGTGGCCACCATTCTAGGTAGCTCGCCATCACGGTGCACATTGATTTGATGATATTAGATGATTGGAGGCAATCGGCCACAGGAAGCCTTGCTTAACCTAGGTTTCGTGCTAGTTGGCACTCACCAGTCAGCAAGGTGTATCTTCAACCTTGAAGGAACTCATGTTCCACCGACTGAAATTCGAACCCGCGTCACCCAGTGCTGACTGCAGTCAGAGACGTTACCACTGAGCTATTCGGGTTCGCGATTGACCTCCTGTAGGACTGTAGTGGATACTTTGATTGGACACTAGTAACTAGTGTGATGGCGAGCTACCTAGAATGGTGGCCACATTGCGAAATCTGACTGACAGAATTCAGTCTGCAGAAATCAAAGGACTAGACACATCACACTAGTTACTATTGTCCAATCAAAGTATCCACTACAATCCTACAGGAGGTCAATCGCGAGTCCGAATAGCTCAGTGGTAACGTCTCTGACTGCAGCACTGGATGAGTTCCTTCAGGGTTGAAGATACGCCTTGCTGACTGACTGGTGAGTGCCAACTAGCACGAAACCTAGGTCGAGCAAGGCTTCCTGTGGTCGATTGCCTCCAACCATCTAATATATAAACAATGTCAATCTAGTACATCTAGTACGTCTTTGTACCCAACGTCCTTAAATTTATAAGTCGTATCACAATACTTGTTGACCAGCTTAGTGTTTCATGAGTTTAAATACACATGCACACACACACACACACAGAAAGACACAAGAACAAACAAGTGTTTTCAAGTATAGAATGAATGATTCAAAATTAATAAATAACTAATAATAATAAGTAGATAACTTACTGTTGAACAATTTTCAACAACTTAAACAGAAGACTACTGGTCATAGAGTAACATAAAAATAGAGTCAGTCACACATTTAAGTAAACACCGACCACCTCTCAATACTTATGTGTGTATGTTTGTATGTGCGTGTGTACGTTATACAAAATCTATAAGTGAATCATACTTTTTCAATAACAGACATAACATCTCAGTTTTAATTCATCAGAGTAACAACAAGTTTTATTATCATTTTGAAGTATTTTTTTTGTTTACAGTCGATTCTTGATTTTTTTTATTGTTGAAAATAATGAAAATATAAGATAAAGAAGAAGAATAAGAAACGACACGGTTATTATTAATAGTTTACAGGTTGGTTAACCATTGAGTGAGTCGGTGATTCAGTGACCAGCCGTTAAATTATCGGCTGACATTATTATTATTGTTTCCTTTAATTCCTAGAGGAACATAGGGCTTCAGCTGTGCGTCTCCATTGCGTTCGGTTCTCTGCTAGAGTCTTCACCTGGCTCCATGTCTGCCCACACGTTTTCATCTCCTCTTCATATGACCTCCTCCAAGTCACCCTTGCACTGACGACCAACTCGCCGCTTCCCTTTCGGGTCCCACTCGAGCAATGGCTTGTCTAGTGATGTCACTTGATGGTTTCCTCAGAGTATGGCCAGCCAATCCATCTCCATTTCTTCCTGCTTATTTGTTTCACAATCGGTTCTTGGTTGGTTCGCTCCCAGAGATCCCTGTTGCTGATCTTTTCTGGCCGGCCATATGATCTTCAGTATTGAGCGAAGACAACTGTTAATGAAGGTCTGTAGTCTGTTTGAGATGCTCTTTATGACGCACTGGCCAAGTCTTTGATCCGTATAGTACGTAGCACTGACTTCACATTGGAGTTGAAAATCCGGATGTTATTTTTGATGCTGAGTGCTGTTGACCTCCACACAGGCTTGAGAGTAGTGAAAGCTTGTCTTGCTTTCCCGATTCTTGCTTTGATATCCTTGTCAGTTGGGCCGACATACTCACTCCTATACCTCATCTAGCAGGTAAATAGGGAAGGTGAGGCTAGCAGCTCCACGCCGTTAAAAAGAATAACACAACTGCTAGTGAAAATTCCAAGCTGATCTAAGTTCCCCTCAGAAAGCAAAGGAATAAAAATGACAGTTACGTTGAGGAAAAAGAAAGAAAGAAAACCAAGAAATGAATCTCCTCATTCTGTTTCTTTCCTCAATGTGGTAAAACTCCATTCACTAGTTTAAATTTAATTGTTTTGATATTGAAAAAGAAATATGATTGTTACCAAAATTGCATAATATCGTTTGGAGCATATTTGTTCGTCTGCTTGCATTTATTTTACCGGTGACTGTTCATTTCATACATAATGATGATGTATCAACTAGACAATTTCGAGTGTTCGTTTGCGGAGATTTGATTGATTTCAAACGTGATGACGAACCAACTTCAGCTAGAAAACCAGGGAGTACTGGACAGTTGCTTCATACTCCTTCGAGACTCTTCAGCATGAGGCACCCATAACGCTATCGAGAATTGAATCCATGACGTTCAGGTTAAGGAGGTGAGCTCGTTGACCATTCAACCACTGACATAGAATCCAGTGACCGATAAGCCCTAACTCATCGCTGACGTTAGCTGGCGGTCTCGCCATACATTGCGAATTGACAGAAGTTAAAATCCATGAGCTGGCCATTGGATTCCGTCCCAGTGACCGAATGATCAATCACATCACCTTGCAACTAGTAGGTCATGGATTCAATCCCTGATGGTGTCGTGGATGCCTACCACAGAATAGTATCAAAATAGAACGAAACCGCTGTCTAGTACTCTTGGTTTTCAATGGTTCTCTAAATGATATTAATCCGTGATCGAACTTTAAACCATTCAGTATCATGAAGCTGTCGATGATCCTATTGTGATGCAAGGATTGAAATCAAGACCTATTAACGACTTGCATAGCATTGCATGATGTATTTCCAGAGAATTCTTGTTTTCTATGTATAAAATGTGGTAGACTGATACACCTGTAGTGTACATTGTACCTTCGAACTTTTGTTTGAATGAACTCAGCCTGACCTTTAACCCCACTTCCACTTTGTATTCCTGAACCTCTTGTACGGTTTCGGTTTCGCTCTCTCGCTGTGCTTTTACCTAGTACACTCTCCGAGCTTACACCGCCTCACCTGCAGATAAGTGTGTACCCCTTATTTCTTATCAAATTCTATATCTCTTTTGTGTAAATACAATTCTGTTCCAGTCACGCTTGCCATCTGAAGTCTTTTAACCTTGATTCCGTTCGTTAGTACTTGTACGTTAGGCAGAGTACGATTAAGGCCATAAGCGGTGAAGAAGTTTTGTAAGAGTGGTTATTGTTAGGTCGAAGTTAATCCAAGTCTAACTCTTACACACCTATGAAATAAAATCGCTACTATAAACAACCGAATTTACAATGAGACTAAAAGTTTGACATTCAGTTAGATAAAGAATTATGGTTATAATAGAACACAATGGAATAATACAACCACGAAGAAAAAAATCGCTAAACTGACAGGTGGTCAAGGCAGAAAACAAAATTTCCAAGATATCCTGAGTACGTTTAAAAAGTAAATACAAATTTTGACTGGAATGTTATCAATCCTCGATTTGAGAGCATCCAACCAATAAAGATATTGACAATGATCTAACAGTAATTTTTCGAGACAAGGTGGATGACTCGCATTACAAATCTATCGTACAGTATTCCTCAGCGAAAATTTGAGCTTCTCAAAACTCATGTCAGATTTTTCTGTGATCCTATACTAACAAAAATCTAATATACTAGTAGACAAACAGGCGAGGATAACATTTGTTTAAGTCAATTTTGCTTTCCCCGTTGATTGACTGGATCGGAATGTTCGGCCTCTGTTGACATGTCGGCTCCCAGTACAGACGTTTCAACGATGTTTGGGGATTAACATGATGTTATTCGGCCGGTGGTGGTGACTCCCAGTGGAGTCGCAGGTGCCTATTTCACGCTATGTGGAACCCGTCAGAATCACAAGAGGTGACTCTTGTGACTCAAGCGGTCTAGTAGATAATACTTCAGTGTTTGAGACAATGGGTGCCGGGTTCGAGTCTCAGTGGGACCAACAATCACTGAGGATTGCAGGTATATCTAGTTGACGAGTCCCAAATAGGATAAAGTGTGCACATCAGTGAAGAAACATTTATTTTAAAACTTTATAAACTTTGGAGATTATAAGCCTACATATACATAATAAATAAATGCACCACTTTAGAATTCAAAAGATGTGACTTCACTTTGATGCACAAAGTTCTTATTTCCCTCCAAATTAAGTTAAAATCAAGCGTAATGTACTTACTTCCATTTCCATACGTAAGTTACCACTGTCACGCATTAGCACAATTCCTGATGGTTTTCTATGCTCATCTGCTTCCGTCTTGCGAACACTAAATACTGAGCAACTTGCATATGCAGGCACAGTGTCTCCAGAATTGAAGTTTCTTTGATCTTCAGATTCATCTAATTGGTTTCCTGCATAAACCTCCGGAGATATCAGTAAATTGGATGAATTCGATAAACTTAACAAATTCGTCTGATAGGCTAAATTTGATTGACAATTCGGAGGAACAGGGAAAGGTATGTTTATTGAGTCCGGTAGTTTCGGTCTGCCACCAGAGTGAGTTTCATCTGATAGGTTTTCTTCGATTAGACTATTATGGCTTGGGACAGTTGCATTACTACTACTAGACGCGGTTGTTGTCACCTTCATGACCACTGAAGGTAAATGATTCATATTGGCACTGACATAGGGTTCATTACTGGAGTACACTTCAACATCTCCATTACATGTCAAGGTACGATTGTTACATTCAAACGGTTGTGAAAGAGTACGTCCACATTCAGAAGTGTGTTCATTTTTACCAGAAGCTGTACGTATTTGCAATGACCTACCTTCAGAAGCAAGTTTGTCATTATACATTTTTGACTGAGATGAGTCTAAGCGATGAAGCAGATGTCCTGTTTCAGGATCTTGCTGCCTATTACTCATTAAGACGACACCCATAGTCTTTTCAACATTAGAACGAATATTCTCTGGTTTGTTTTTGCGAAGAGTCAAAGATGTACAACAACAAAGTCCAAATCTAAGCTCACGTAATGCATCGTTTTGAACAGATTTGCCATGTTGTATATCTATATGCGAAGTGGTTGTGAAATAATGATTTGGAGATTTAAAACATTGCTTCCTTGATGTCTGACGAACAACAAAGTGAATCAACAGCCCAAATATAATCCAGAAGATAATAAAGCCGAAAAGTAAAATATAAGCCCACAAGGGGAAAGTGAAGTGTTCCAAAATATTCATTTCATAATCAGAAGACTTAGTAGTAGGATTTTGCAACCCCGTAACAACTGACTTGAGATGGTATCCAGGTCCACGCACACCTTCTCCTCTGCAGTTTACTCCGGATATGTAGATAACATAATCGACAAATGGATTTAAACCTTGAATACTTTTGGAGTGGACATCTGCAGATACCTGAAGACGAAAAAATATTTTTTTTTTTAAATCATACTAACAGAACCCTTAGAAAATTTCTCTATTAATGAAATTCACAATAAGCAGGAGAAATATCACTGAATGTGTCTAAGGAGGTGAAAAATATGCAAATGATATCCCTTATGATTTTAATGGCAAAAACCGTCCGAGTTTTCAAATTTACCTAAAACAAGCGATACCTAAAACCCAACTGAAGGAATTCAAAATTTTACGCGGACCATTTCTATGTCAATTCAGTGAGACGTATTCAGATACAAAATTTATTTGCAATTATTGAATTACTTTCGCTACGTAAAAATATCCCAGCATATTTTAAAAACGCATTAGTATCATAGGCTTTCCAGGAGAAAGTTCATTAAAGATGTCTTCTCTGACAGGACATCACTTCTACGCCAGAAATTACGTAAGTTGGCAAATGCCATTTGAGTCTTTTGTTTCGGTGCTGAGATTTAGTCAGTAATCAGTCCACTATGGTTGATGCAACTCCTCAAATAAGTGGAGTGGTCAATGTGCTCAATCACTTCATCTACCTTAAAACTACGTGTCGGTGCAGATCAGTCCTGCAGTACCACATTGCATTTGGCACAAGAAACTCGCATACCAAGTATTTGCATATTTCTGCTGAATGCGTTCAGAAGACGCTACACTTTGTAAGCGTTCTCACCCAGGAGGACTATATCATCCCTGATAACAAGTCAGTGTATAAGTCCCTGAAGCCAGTTAGGGCCAATTCCATCAGTACAGTTATTATGAAGTTAAACAAAAATGGAGACATTAAGCATCCCAAGCAGTCACCACTTTGGACTACAACTCGCCATCAGCTTTTGAACAAATACGTGAGTTAGAGTGCAGAGCCTCCGTTAGTGCGATAAACTTTCACGGCCAAAGACTGCCCTAGAACCTCTAAGTCAACCGAGTCGAATGCCACCTTCAGGTCAAGAAACATAGCAAGTGTTGAACACTGGTAAGTACGCCTGTGAATCTGTGAAAGAGTTACATATAAAAACGTCTCAGTGACATGAAATATGTACATACTCTCAATAATATACTACAGCCACAAAAATTAGTAATATCAAAGCCATCAAATTTAAGTCTGCTAGGCTTATTGTTACTATAATAAAACAACTCTAAAATGAGCAAACGTATTTCACATTAAGGTAAGAAGTTTTGAGCACAAACTATTGCCCATAATCATATCATGATTATATTACTGTTAATTTAACTGTATAACACTGAGTGATTTATCAAAATAAAATCTTATCAATAATTGAGTTATACTCTACCACAGTGCTTAAGTTTTACACTCATATCAATTGTCGACATTTCAGTCAATCAAGCGGTCCACCTGAATGAGTGAGTGCAGGTACAGGCTACTGCCAACCTTGCAACAGTACTTTGAACTTGGACAGTGCAGAGCGCATACCATACTTATAGACGCTGATCTCCAAATGATTAGGTGAGATTTGAGCAGCCTGAATGCTACCGCACAGTAAGATGATATCACCTGCGTTGAGAAGTCATTCTCTAGGAAGAAAGACCTGACTGGAGTGTGAGTTAATTCTAAAAAACATAACACTAATACTATTTGAAGGATGGAAGTGCAGTAGCCAGAAATTAATGATTTAAAAAGGAATGCGGGAGCTAGATGCTATTCAAAAGAAGTAAAGGACATTAGTGGTCACTTAACCGTTATTTATCTATCTAGCCGTTATTTTTTTATATGGTGCACCTAAAAATGTAAATTAATCGCCGGAAATATCATAAAAGTGAAAAAAGAAATATAAGGATAGTATTACCAAGTGTCTACTAATTGAAGTTAAACAATCGTCAGAGATTTACATATAAAGGAACACTTACATGTAGTGAACGACTGAATTGACTTTCATTTGCCAAAATGTGCAATGTATATCCCAAAATTGCACCGTTTGCTACTCTCAATTCAAGAGGCTTCCATGACAGACGAATACCATCAGGCGAATGAGAATAGTTGGTACTTCGACCTTGCGACACGTAATCATCACTGGGAGGATTAACTTGAAAGATCCATTCAGCGCTTATTAGTTGTGGTGAGAAGCTAGGTGGAGCATCAAGAGTCAAGGCTAACTCGGAGCGGCTAGATCTGCTCAAAATCCGGCCATATGTTGAATCATCTTTGAAGGCCTCAATATCAATTTCGTAGCAGCTGAACGGAGACAGGTTGCCGACAACAGCTTTTGCATTAGGGTAATCTCGAGACACGCTTTGACTAATAATGATGCTTTGGGTGTCCGGTTCCGTCTCCCGCAGGGACAACATATCCTTGTTGTTTACATGCAGTGAATTGGTATTGGCCATTAAAACTGTTTGTTCCAGGAGCTTAGAAGATGTGAAACTACAGTGAATGGAGCTGGTAAGTGAGAAGTCATTATTATCACTGTCATAAACATCCGAAGATCCGTGCTCTTCAACACTCCGATGTACGGAAGAATAGCTTGGTGGCTGCGATGTAACAGCAGCTATGCAGCGCGACATCGGGACAGATCTGACGTTTAATCTGAAGCCATCAATGCGCTTGAGCACTTCATTAGAAGCCCTTGCAGTCCAACTAACTAGAAGCTCAGATGATGAGAGAGTTCGAACAGATATACGATGCAAGTCGATAGATTGAAATGTTGACACGAGTTCTTGAAAATCAACCGCTGTTTGGCCACCAGAAAACAGTGTGCCCGGATGCTTTAATGAAATGTCAGAAATTGTTTCGTTTGTCTTTGAGGGAAACAGAAACTTAACCTCAGATGGCTTTCTTGTTGTATATACTAGATTGGGTAACAAATTTCCAGCACTCATTCCAAAGTTATTAACTTTCCTAACTTCAACCCAATAGCCAGTATCAGGCAACAATCCTGTAATACGGGTTTGCGTGAGATAGGTTTTTTCTACTGCAACCAACCAATTATCCAACTTAAAAGCTTTTCTGTTTGGTGACTCACCCTTGCTCGGCGTTATGTGATCTTCAATAACTTGATTATCTTCAAGCCTCTGAAGACCTTGGACTGCGACCGTCGATGATGAATGGATTTGTGGTAATATGTACACCCTATAACTTGATGATTCAGATGGGTTATTGTCAGACCATTTTAATACCATCCATGTGTCACTTACACTCAAAATTTTTACATCTGTTGGTGGAGATGGCAACTGTTTTATTGTACGCGGCTGATAATCAGAGCCATTAGATTCCCTTAATCTCAAAACAAACGTGTACTGCGCAAACCTGTGACTTATTTTCCTGTAAACTGAACAAGTGTAATTCCCAATATCATCCGGTTTAAATGGGTACAAGAGCAGAGATCCATCAGTCTCTACTGAAACCCGAGAGTTTGACGATCTCGATATGGGAATTAACTCGCCATTATGTTGCCACATTAAGTGTGGTCTCATATTTATTTCACTGTTTTTACTAATAGACTGCGCCCCATGTAAAGAAATGAAAACAGGATCCAGTGGAACTCCACAAACAATCCTCACTGCCGTTGGTTTGCTGAATAACTCACCGAAAATGTAAGAACTTGAGACAGCACCCACGCGACCTGGAATTAGCTTTGGATTAAACTGCACCTGAACATCAGTTAGGCTTCTAGTTAAGCCAACGGGAGATGAAGCTCGGCATTCATAGGTGGAGGTGTCTTCTGGCCTAGCTGCAAGTATAATGAGACTTCCAGAACCAGTGACATGTATTCGTTCTGATTCACCTACGGATGGAATGAAATACTTCTTAGTTGACCACTGTAACCAACGAACATCAGGTAACGGTGAGCCTACCACACTACAGAAAAGTTCAACGCGATTTCCTTCGTATGTATATAGTTTACTCGGAGGTGTTACAACCAAACCTGGAGGTGAAACAACGTTTATATATGCAACTGCTTCAACAACACCGGTTGAACTAACTGCACGACAAACATAATATCCGGAATCATTTGTCTGAACACCAATGAAACGTAGAGTTCCACCCAGGAGTAGCCTGACTCGTGAATACGGAATACTCGGTAACGAAGGTTCTCTACGCCAAACTACAACAGGAGGCGGCTCACCGGCAGCACGACAATTCAGTTCGAAGACACTATGTACGGGTACTGACTGACTTTTGGGAGAAATAATGAAAAATGGACGTTGTCGAACAGTGAGGTAGGCCTTCGCGCTTTCTCGACGATGAGCAAACGACTTAGCTATACAAGTATAGTATCCAGCATCTTGCCAGGTTATTCTATCGATTCGCAAACTCCCTCCATCCAAAAGCTGCAGACGATTGTCAGGTAATAACGTTGAATTATCCTTCAACCATTCAACAGTTGGATTAGGAAGACCGTAAGGAGGGGCACACTCCAGAAGAACTGTATCTCCAACATTGGATGTTTTGCTTTGGGGCTCCATATTAAATTTTTCATTCAGAAATGAAACTCTAACATTTGCTTGTTTAGATAGTATCCAGCGAAAAGTATCTGATGCATTACAATAATATTCCCCTTCATTGTCATTAGTCAGCTGGAAGCTATGTGAAGAATGAACAGTATTTCCAATTACTTTTGCACGACCTTGAGAAAAAGATGTGTTGTCCTGTTTATGCCAAGTTATGCTGATATTTGGAGAACCAACAGCTGAACAGCCGAGAGTGATCTGCTGATTCTCTAAGCCATATACGTCACTTGGTTCATCGATGAATTTTAAATCATAACTACTGAGCCCATTTGACGCCAAAATAAACAAAACAAACATCCAGGTGATAACACACAAACCCATACTCATTGAAAGACACATTGAATTGAGCGCTTTGAATTAACAACCTTGGATGCGATGCACTATAACAATGAAACCTAAATCCAGGAAAGCATCCAGTATCCTGATTTGCGCAAGACATTTAATAAGCAGGGTGTACTGCTGAATTCTGAGGCTTGCCTTCAGAGGTAAGATACTTGTAGCTGATAGTATGTGACACTTTTACTAAACACTTAGAATACTAGAATATCGATACTGATAGGTTCCGATTTCATCTAAGTATTACCAAGCTGCATCAAAGTTATTTTATTGGCAGTTTTATATGACTGGATATACTGTTTAGGATACGAAAGTTTTGACGATCTCAGATGATACTATAGTGAGATACTACTCGTTTATCATACTCAGACCTCTAATGTACTTATTCATCGCAGGCCACATAAAAATTGCAAGAAAATCAACATGACAGTCATGTCACATACAACGAACAGTGTATTTCAAGATCGGTTATGCTTAGCAGGGATGCATACCTAGCTAACTAGAGGTCATATAGAAACAGTCGGAGGAGGCGCTTTACAAATGGCTTAAAGAGCAAAGTAGGCAAAGAAAAGAGTTAAGTCGACTACCTTCTTAATGAGTCTCAACCTTTACCTACCTTGGTGGTTACATGAACAGAAAGTTTCTTGCAGCTGTTCATTATTCACAGGCGATATGTATTTTAAATATTACATACAAAGCTAACTTATAACATGGAATCTGCATCATCCGTCTGCTGGTGATGATACAGATAGTGTGTAAACAAAGTGTTGTAAATATGGTTCATTTGATGCACCGTTTAATTTCAGTTCTTTTTGAGACTCAAACCTCTGTTAAATCCTGGAATTCACGGTTCTGGCTATCAGAGAATCACATCCATCAATATCTCAACAACACAAATGTCTCCGCCTGCAACGCCCACCGATTCGCCCAGTTTTTTGTCAAGATGCGATCCTGTGGGCTCTGCACAGATTCGTGGAATATTTTTATAGATCAGAGTGTCCTACATGTTCTACGTTTTCGGATCTTTGAGGACACTTCTGACTAAACTATCACTTACGTACTTCACAAATCTTTTAACTGAACACTATTACACTCCATTATATCTTAACTCTCTAAGCTTTGAGTGAAGCTAAAACTTTCTGTTTCTCATTTGTATTCTATGTTTATTTAAAGTCTGGTTCTGCTGGATTAAAAACAAGAGAAACGATTTGGTGAAGAAAAGCTTCATTTTCATTGAAAACTGATATGTGGTCACATGATATCTACTTTGTTTACCAAGCTGATATGTTCTGCTACATGTCTATTGATCGTTAGTCCATTATGAATCACAATCTATCTTGTCTTTCTATTAACTAAATAACAATGCATGACTTTCGTCACCTGATACAGCAGTCAATCAGGATCCAATCGGTGGTAAGAAAAACTACTTATCTGCCTAAGTGGTTCATGTATGATAGTTACTTTCTCATACTCTTGTATTGTACAACTGACTGACACTTTTTCATTCACACTCCTGTGTGGCAGTTAATTTCCCTTGTCGGAATAATACACGCATCATTCGTCAACGTGATGGGGGTCTTCTAATTTCTCTCTTCGGGTTAGGGCAATTTAAGTACTAAGCAATACCAGTCGTTCCTTCATCGTCCGTTATATCTCATTAGTCATATTTATACCCTGCCACTTCATGAAAAAATATCATAGTTTCGATAATCAGACCAATTTAACTAGCATTATACATTGTAAATGTACCTTATTATTCTAAGGACTACCCAGCTCCTTCTGACGAAGTTAAACTTTGAGGACCACTAAATACCGATCAGTGAATGACATTGAACGTACCAATCAAACGAAGAAGGCACTTTGTGTGTGGAATACATATATTTCTGAAAAAAAGTATAAAAATTGTATAACACTGTTACATAGGATACTTTTCTCTGATATGTGATAAAACACATCTCCCAGTTTAGCATAGGAATATCGATGGAAAAGTTATACCAAATCCTACACATATATTCATCTTAAAGACTATAAACAACATCTCTTTACGGTCCATTAGTGGCTCTAATCCTATTTTTTCACCTTCCCTAAAAGATTTTGTAGAAGTGCTGTGGGTCCCTGAAATAGGATTCACAAAATCATTTAAATGGTTGACTCTCTGGTGGATACATCCAAGGGATGACAAGCAAATATAACCTTTCCACTCATCTGTGCCTATTGTAAATCCTAGTTTCACCAGTCGAGTGATAACAGGCATTAAATTGCTTGATTATCTACCTGCCATCCAGTCCAGGAATCCTTCCTGTAGGGGTGTCTCATGTAAACCAACCAACGAAACATTATTCGATCGTTTTCAACCGTGGTTGTATGTTTTCCTCGATACGAGAGTTTCCTCTATATGTACGATGACATCCTGTCCTCTTAAAAAGGAAGTAATGATATGATTATTATTAATATATATATCATAAAAACTGGCGCTAGCAAGAAATGCATGCCATTTTCACAGGGACGATCAGTTATGTTATAAACTACAATCCGGGCGTATCATAAATTAATACTTTTTCAAAAGTTTAAATTGTTCGATTAGTGTACAGGAATCAGAACGGGTTCTTATGAATGTTAAATTGTATGCTCTTCACTAAGGTTGCCATCAAAGTTGAGCGACAACACAGTCTTCGTCCCGTCTCCTGCTGATAGTTATGGTAAATCAGCGAATGGAGTATATTTGGGTAAGTGCTATGCCGCCACTTGTTTCAAAGATATTTCGGGAAGACGAGAACGTCCTGGGAAATTGCGAAATGGCATAAGATACAGTTATGGATAATACATAACTGGAAAAACATTTAAAAGATGTATGCAAGGAGCTGGAGACTCCTTGTTATGATAGTAAACACTTGCAATGTTTAATGCTACCACATTGGTCCCACCACGGGGACTATGATGTTTTCAATGAAAATATAACTTTGTTCAAACATCGGTGTTGTTGTTGTGTTCTTCGTCAAAGCAACCAGACTTTAAGCAAGCAATAAATATGAACAAAGAGTAAGTTTAGTTTTATTCAAGGCCTAGATGGTTAAGATAAAATAAAGTATAATAGTGCGTAAATAAAAAGATTATCGTGAGACCGATAAGTTATATTTCAGCAGGAAGTGAATTCGAAGATCTGGAAGATTAGAACCCGTAAAACAAGCTGATTTGTAAGATGTCTCACGAACTTCTGTAGGGCCCACGGTGTAGCATCTTGACAAGAAGCTGAACAGGCTTGAAAATGGTTGGAGCGAAAGCATTTTGTGTATAGTTTAGATCTGTACAACACTTATTTTCTCTTTTTTCTAAGCCTCTCTATTTTTCAGGATGGCATATCCCTGCAGTACGAGTTCCACTGAAATGTTGATACGAGACAACTTTCAGTTTCAGCCGTTGCAACTTTCGCAGGCTGTTTCAAAACCCAGTAACTACAAATATGCAAAATCTGCGTTAAGGAAAGGTGGCACATGACAGAAAATGTTCCCACGAAATAATGGAATCATCAGCTTACCTTACCTGACAATAACCCGTCTCAAACAAATTACAAAACGGTGCACATGTCCATCAACAAACCTGCTGAAGATTTTTATGGTTCAGATGAACAAATCGCTTTTTTCCTAATTAATCCCACACCTAAGCGATACCGGAAGACTTGATCCCCACTAAATTGAAAGCACAACTAAGTTAGTGAAGGCATTTTGTCTGAATCCAGCAGAAAAGAAGATTTAACTCTCATGAATAAAACTCGTTGAACCGTTTAGGGCAATGGTGTGGTTGCATTCCATTGGTGTATTGCGGTGCTTAAAGTTTAACTTGGCCTTCCTTCATGTTCATTTTCCGTAATTGCAGTTTTGTTATTATCTTTACCTGCTTTTATTCCAGTATACCGTTTCTCAGGATGTTCAGTTCTCACTAAAACAGCTTCCAATCACGCGAAGCATTATTTACCTAAATAATGATTGCTCGTCAGCTGACTAAAACCAGTCGCAGGAAGAGAAACAGAGTTTGGGTTGCCGCTCAACCTCGGCGATGGCCTTTGAGATAGCCCTACAATTTAACATCTAAAAAAACCTACCTTGACTGCTAGCATTTTAACTTAACTAATGAAACAGTATTAATTAATCGATATCGTCCGATTTTAATTTATACCCTGTTAGATCGTACCTGTAAAATTGGCGATGTACTAAATATTTGGAAATGCATGGATCTTTAAACATAGCTCGGGTAGAGGTACAAATTGATAACGATACCTTTTGGTGTTAACGGTATTCTAAAACTCAAACTAAAAACATTATGTGGGGTAATTTTACCATAGTGAGGTAAATGTAGACTACGATAGCTCAAGTGAACGACCGACTGGTGAAAGGATCAACTCCATTCACAGTAGTAACAGTCTTAACACACCTCATACTACAAACCAAATATAATTAATCCCTGAACTACTCCTTTTGGAGTCAACCAAAGCAACGGCAGTCGAGTGGCGGGACGAGCTACGCAGACGTTTACCGAAGATCAGGAACCTATACTTCACAATCAAGAGGCGAGCACAAAGAAATCAAATTGGTTTATACTAGCTCGTAAAAACGATATTGGATATTGGACCTACAAAATGATCTTGCATTGCCAGCCATAAGCATCATGTGATAATAGTAGAAGCAAAATCAGAAACGTAAGTCTAACATTAGACCTGACCCTAGATCACGTAGCACCCGTAAAATCAGCATGTTAGTCATGCGAAAGTATCCAAGATTATATGAAAATATCATTATTAATATTGTCACTGTTGATAATATTAGAAGCGGCCACCAAGTCCACAAAAATCTAAATTTCACGGCTAACACATCCTGGAAGGCTGCAGGATCTTCAAAAGCAGGAAGCTACAGTCACGCGGGATAGTTAGTGATTAGGTGATTGAGGGGGATGAGTTGAGTATATAATTAGGAGCTATATCTTCTTTACGGTTTGTAGGGCTCTCTTCATCTGCTGAATGGTGCATGACATTCAATATGTTCGACTAGG